TTTCAAATATACAAACATTATAATGTATACCCTTAGAGAGGCTTGTCTGCTTGTTAGCTCAGTCAGTTTTTAAAACAATATATTTTCAGATATAAACAGTTTGCTCATATTGAAGCTTGGAGAAATTGTAGTTTTATACCTGTTCTGCAGAGTATGCTGTTTCTCATCAAGCTGTATTGCATTCCTGTTTTTAATAAATAGTGGTGTATTTTAAGCAATGAAGTACCACTGTTTAGTATCTTTCTTTACTGTGATGGATATATCCACATTTTTACATTCTTAAACCTTTTTTGTAAGTCATAAACCGCCTACCAATTCCTGAGACTCCTTGATGGCAGAAGCTGAAAATCATGGCAACCCATAATGAAAATTCCCTACATTTCATTAAACTTTTCTTTTTAAGATCCTGCAGGTTGTTTGACCGTAATATAAATATTTGCCTGTTTTTCTGTGTTAAATATAGAGGCTTAGTAAAGTTTGAAAGCCTATCTGTTTTCTCAGCTATATAAGCCAATGTAAAAAATACGGTAAGGCTTGCTTCCCTTCAGTGATTAATTGAAGGGGTTTTGTCCCTACTCACTATTTTACTTGGGGAGCTGTTACAGACACAGAAAGTAAGCTTCTAGAAATAGGAGAATTAAAAGGAGGTACATCTATAGGAATCTCCTCGCTTAACTTTAGTTATGTAAAACTTAGATTTCTTGTATGATGTCATCATCTTATGATATTAGGATTTTTATGGGTTTTTACTTCAGTCTGTCCTGACAGCACTGAACTTTCACTGGGCTTACCTTTGAGGTGGACTGAGAATCTGCTAAATGTATGAAATCCACCGTTGTACAGACTTGACCAAAATCGCTCAAAGCAGCATACGCAAAGGTTCATGCTTCATTTTCCAACATCTCATATACTTTTTTTCTACTTTAAAGCTCACAAACAGTATGAATAACGTCTTTTACCTTTTTATTGTAAACATTTAGGCTTAAAGTGAATATAACTGACAGTTAAAACCAACAGGAGCCAGTGGCCTGTTCATACACACATTAACTGTAATACAGCCAACATCAAAAATAAAAGTTTCTAACAGTTCCTTCAATCCACCAAACCTAGCAGACAGATTTGTTTGTTTGTTTTTTAACAGCTTTGTTCTGTGGTATAGCTTTAAAATTCCTGGTCTCTTCTGTGAAAAAAATTATGTTTGCATTTAGAGTTATTTTACAATTGACTTTTTTATGTGTATTTTGATTCATTCACTGCTCCAGAGCAGCACAAAATGGTAAAATGATTTCATCCAGCAATGTAAGCTTTTTCATATGGAATTGTTTAAAAATAATGATGTAGTGAGAGCTGAAAGCAAGCTTACTTTGGTAAAATCGATCAATTTTCTCATCAGATATAGTAACAAAAAATTATGTGAAGTATCATATACAGTAATTAATTTGGGGTTATCATTTGACCGTGAGTGGTTTGTTTTCTGTTTTGTACTGTTGTAAAAGCTGAGATTGAAATTAAGAAATACTAGTTGGCAAAAGGAGCTGTGCTCTCATCTGACACTATGGAAATAAACATTCTAGTTACTTGTGTAGTTAAATGACAGCACATTTTGGCTACTGCATACTGCAAAATCAATAACTGGACATCAAAAGGTATTTTAAAGTGAGGAATACTAAGGAGTCCACAGACATGCAAAGCAAAGTTGTAAAAATTGTAGTCCCAGAGCTGTTAGCTCACCCTCCTCTTGCAGCCATCCAGGTTCGTTCCTCACTTGCAGCCAAGTTCACGTGCCAACACGACTTGAAATTCTGCAGCAGGATCCATAAAGGCACAGCTGGCAAGGCCAGGTGATGGTTCAGGAAGTGTCTCTGCTGACTCCATTCAAACACACTCACTTAAAGACCACAGAGCTTCAAAATGAAGATTTTTGGGCACGAATTCCAGGTGTAGGAAAAGGAAAGTAATGCCATAAATTGTTGTGCAGCGTAGCCTCACCCAAAACACACTTAGAGCTTTAGTATTTTTTCCACTCTTTTTATTCTTTATCGAGTAAATGTTGGGGTCGTTATGAGTGTTACAAACCACCAGCTGAATGTTTGTGGGTTGTCTTTTGCAGCAGGTAAGTAGCATCAAATCATAATTGTAATCATCTTTTTAATTTACTTCAGCTTGTCTTTCAAATGTTACTACATGTATTTTGAGAGAATCCTAAGCCAGTGACCTCCTGAAGCGGTCGCACCTGGTTTTGTGGCAGTTTCTTTAAGGATTGTTAGTAGTTTAGTTGGCTACCACAGTATTAAACAAATACCCCGGTTTGGGAACCTATGCGGTAAACTCGGACATGTTCGTCTCCACTCTGACTCTCTACTCTGCTACCTTAATCCTTGAGGTAGCAGCAGAGGATGCTGTACTTAAAAGGTTTTTCAGTAGCATCAAACATTCACAGACTGTAAATAGAAATAACTTGGAAAGAAACGGTAGCCATAAATGCTAATTTCAGATAAGAACGTTCCTTACACATATGATCTAACTGGTAAAAAGCAGAAGTGAGTCATCTGAGCAACTGCTTTCTAAACATACAGATGTGAGCGAGCAGTGATGGAAGCAGAGGGGTGCTAGTAGAGTAAGTTGCGCACAACCCAAACGCTGTCCTATTGTATTCACCTGGGCTCAGGGCTGCAAGAAGACCCACCAAAGGCTATGCAGAGATACTTCATAGCCTGAGTGCTAAAACAACCTTCCTAAGCCTCCTAAGTCTTCCCTCCCTCACCTGCAGCACGTCAGCCTCCTTGCAGTAGCTGTGCACGCTCTACCTACATGTGCTGCTAAGCGGTCTCTGCTCAGGGACACAATGGGAGTTTGTGGTATCAGAAAGACATCAGCCTTGCCGTATAAAGTAGCACGGGTTGCTCATGTTTATGATGCCCAGTCATGGTACCTTACAGAAGAATTATATCCACAAGAAAATGCATAGATACTAGCTTTCAAGTTTGCTGTTACAACTGCAAAGATAGTGTTTCACATAACTGTTGTTCCTTCTTCTCTTAAAATATTGAAGCTGTATTTGAAGTTAGCCCAGTACCAGGGCCTTCTTTGGGACATGGAGAATGCAGGTTCATTATCCTGCTCTGCCTGTTTCTCTCTCTCTCTCTCTCTCTCTCTCTCTCGGGTCCGAGGAAGCAATGGTGTGCTGTTACAAATAGAAATTCTCATTGACACACATTGGGTTTGGGTGACGTGGTACTTTCTTACCTCCTTTTTTTACTTCACTAGAAAAAGTGAAAATGACAGAACAAGATGATGATTGCCAAAACTTGGTAGTTGCTGAATTCGTGGTTAGCTGTTCCATTGAAGACAAGTGTCTGTATTGTAAAAAGCAGGATTAGTCAGCCTACCTAGGATCTGTGTTGGAAACTTGACTGCAGCAGAGCACTGTGTGTAACAGTGGTGCAAGGTGCTTCTGACGCAGATACTGAAAAGATCAGTTAGAGCTGTTCTAGACAAGGAAAATCTCCTTATTGATTCTGGTCAACAGGAATATTCTCAGCCCTCTGAGTGTCTAGTCTTTTCTGTGTTAAACTAAGGTCTTCAAAGTCACAGATTGTTTTAGAAAGTGGTGGTGGTTTCCAGTACTTTCCCATTTCCTTTGCTTTTAGTTGTTATGAAAGGGAAAGGTACAGTCATCTAATTTGTCCTTTTATAACATTTTCTCGTATCACCTGTCGTATTTTCCTTTAATTATAAAAAAGAATAATATATAGACTTAATCTTTGTACTCTCTTTTGATATTGACATTTCTTTCTTTTTTTCTTTTTTTTTTTAAGATGGAAACATAGTAGATGAGGTATAGATGACCAGATTTTGATGTAGCATATTTTCAGTGTTACTGTTCACTGTATCTTAACATTTTAGTCTTTCCTTTGATTGCCAATATAGACTAAATGTATTTCCATAATGAAGTTCAGGTGATCTACATGATGGGTTTGAATTAGAGCTCACATTATATAAAACTTGTCGAATTATTTTTGTGCTGCATTTTATATTTGCCTGCCTTCCACACATTGTTTAACCTCCAGAGTAGTGACAATCTTTGTCTTCCTTAGTAGTGACTATCCTGCATCATCTTCTGGATTATTAATAATGTGAAAAAACACGAACAGTACAAATCATGGAAGGATTATGTTAAGTGCTTTTGAAAGTCTGGATGTGAGAATGGAAGGGGCATCCTGCGTTATTTGCCTGTCTGTCCTGATACCCTAGATAGCCAAAAACCTTCTCCATTATTTTATGTGCATACCCGAAAGATAACAAAGAAACCTAGTTTCCATTTGCACAAGCTGTGCTGGTTTGTCTTGAGTATTTCATACTTATTTGTGCTTTGCTACCGTAGTGTCTCCCATAATAACATCTGACTGAAATAAGTAGTGTGTTTTGTTAACTGCTCAACCACTTCATTCTTAAATTCCTGCAGAACTATTTGATTAAGATCATCTGGTCCTAGTAACTTATTTTGCTACTTAGGTAGGCAGTTTGTTCCAGTGCCTGCAGCCCATCACTGAGGCAGTGAGAGGCTCCAGGGAGTTCTCCCACCTCTGCTGGCTGCTGTTGCAAGAAAGAAGGATGGGTGTAGGCTACTGACCTGAGACAGAGCTTGCATGGAGCTCCTAAAGTGCCCCCAGACTTCCAGCTTTAAAGCTGTCCAGTTTCTGCATGGTCTCGTGCTGGTATTGTGAACCCATTTTGGGAGCAAAGACACCAGAATGTGAAGAAAGATATTTAAAGATACAGCTGCACTGCAATTAAAGAGAGCATGAGATGGCGCCCAGATTATTGAAAGTATTTTCTGGAAATGTTGTGGTTTCTTGACATGTTAAATATCGGGTTTTTTCCTCTTTAAGAGTTCACTGTTTTTCTAACATTTGGCTTGTTAGAAGTACTGCATCCTGGGCAAGTGTTCTCACTGAGTGCTGGTCTCCTCCTCAGCAGGCTTAATGTTTCTTTGACAGATCTTGGAACATATTTGACAATACACGTCAGGACCCCACAGGACTAACAGCAGTTCTTCAGTCTACGGATCTGGTTGGAGTCTTGCATATGCTGTACTGTGTTCTTTTCCACGGGACAATTTCAGATCCAAACACAGCAAGTCCTAAAGACAGCTATGCAGCGAACACAGTCCAGGTTGCCATTCAGAGTTTACGTTTCTTCAATAGTTTTGCTGTTCTTGATCTGCCTGCCTTTCAGGTAACAGATGTTTTAAAACTTTTGCTTAGTGTGAAGATGTTAATTATTGCATATACTTTTGGGCTAAGTTTTGTCTTAGTTATTAATTTGATTGAAGTTATTGAAGGAACTTTCACAATTAAATGTTTAGGTTTTCTTCATGCATAAAATCTGGTACCTGTTGTTATTTCCACCATATAGCTATGGCTAACAAATTTAACCAAAAAGTGAGAGTTTAGAATATGTAAAATACCAAATCCAATCCATTAGTACTTCTATTCAAAAAACCCTCACTTTTAGTGTAGTACTTTTTATATTTAATAAGCCCCAAAAATGTAAAAAAAAATCTCGGTCAAAAGCACAAAATAACACTTTTTCTAATATGAAAGGACTTGCTTATATTATAACGACAATTTACATTAGTTAGTGCTTTCAGTGGCCACTTGCTTTAAGATTGTACAGCTGAAACTGAAAATCACTTGATACCAAATTTTTTTTATCCAAGTAAAATTTTACTGACCAAAAATCAGAAAATTAACTTTTCATAATTTCTATTAGCAAAAAAATATCTTAAAAGATCGCATTCTGAGTCTTGAGAACGTAAGTCTTTTCTTACCTTCTTCTGCGAACAGATTTGTAGTGTAATTGAATCATTTTGCTGTACAAAGAAAATACAAATACTGGTACATTTCTCAGATAAATTCACAGAGCGGTTGTGTTGTTATAAAACACCTGTCAAAAAGCAGTGCTTTGCAAAACACGTTTAGCAGCATCAGTCTTACACAATTCATCAGAATAGGTTCCTATTTCATTTAATATGTAATTTGTATATAAGTTGTACCACACACTCCATCTGAAATGCATTAAACTCAGCAAGAGCTTTGCATCAGTAAAGAAGTTAGTACTTAATACTAAGTTTCCTTCAGTTCCTATTTCTCGACTTTGATTTTTAGTACATTTAGGGTCTCTAATAACAGCAACAAGCAATTTGCATGCAGCAACATTCATCTGTATAGATGCAGTTGCAGGGTCCAGTCCAGTCAGGGTGTTTTTACAGGGCACAGAAACAGTATATTTATTGGAGTTTCATGTAAAACAGCTCTTACACACACCATTAACTCCCATTTCTTTCTGTAAATCAAGGTGTATCAAAGTAGTTCTCTTCTACAGCTTGTTCAGTACCTCTTGGTTTGAGACTGGATGTCTATTTGTTGCTGTAGATACTACAGGTATATACCAGAGAGTAAGACTTGAAATGGGACAGTTAGAGCTTGTAGGGGAGCTATAGCAAATCGCACTGGCTCAAGAAACCACTATTACTTTTTAAAATACAAGCTTCTAATTACGCTGTCTGTATTTATCCCTCTACCAACTACCATTATATCCGAGCATTTATAACAAATAATCAGCATTAATTCCCAGATCCCATGATCTGCATGAGTTTGTTCTACATAAAATGGTGCAAGATAGTAATTATTACATAAAGGGTGGTAGAAAACTAACCAGTGTGAATTATTTCATTCAGTTCATTGATGCAGGGCTCCGCTCAGGAAGAATCTGCTTAGCTGTCTTACTGAATTGTAGGCATAATATTGTTTGTGATGGACAGACACACTTGTGTAGTCTCAGCAGCTGTCCCTTTCAATGTATTAATGTGATTTGTTTCTGTAATGTGAAAAAATCAACATACACCTGAGGCAGTTTGCTGTCCATTCTGACCTTGTGGACTATAGCAGGCTAGCAGACAGCAGAGGGAAAAAGCATAGTTTATATACAGTCTGATTATTATCTCTAAGGAATAGTTTTATCACGTAATAGTAGGACTATAGAATAGGGGTTTTTGATTAACAGAAGAGGCCTGGTATTCTAGAGTTTGTATTAGCACAGATGGCTCATGGGTATATATTTCATTTAATTTGACAGTCTAAACAATTGAAAGATGGTAGTGAGAAACAACACAGGATCCTGAGCTGATATTAATTCTGGCTAAAAAGGAAGCATAGTTTCCTTGAAAAATTAGTTTAACTTTTATACACAAACTCAGGTGCCCTTTGACCTGTTGTTATCAGGGAAGGTTAAACCCAGAGTGCTAGGTCACAGCATGCGTGGACAGCACTAATGAAATAAGGGTGGACCTAAGAACATGGCATTTACATGATGGAAAGCAGTAAATGGTGGCTGTGTCGTGCATTAAATTTTTAAAATATACTGACTTAACAGAATGCTTGAGGTTCGAGATAGAAAGTATCCACAGCTGAGTCTGTTTTAATTGTCAAGGATTCTACTTTTGCTGGGTAGATTTGGAGTATGGGATATATGTATATGTACTTAACACAGGCTACAAGGTATAAAATCAAGAAAACTCTCAAATGAAAGAGATTTTCTCACAGGCCTGCTTTGCTGTTTCATTAGAGTTAGCAGACTGTCATCCTCATTCCTTGTGCTTTAGTTTTCCCCTTTGACCTTGTGTCGTTCTGTCTGTTTGACATGTTTATTAAATAGAGGCTGTAGGCTGCACAGATAAAATCTAATTCTGAATCTCCATGTTACAGCAATTTGCCTACTTTTAAAAAGCATCCCAAGAAGCTTTGCAGCTGAGTGATCTCTCCTTTTGGATGTTTCTAACTTTTTTTTAATGTTTGAAAAGTCATTATTTGTTATTAATCTTCGTATTCATTCAGAGTCCGAGTTATTAATGAGAAATGCATTTTGCTCTTTTGCAGAAATGAAGATGGTTTGGTTTCTTTTGCTTATTACTAAGAAATATTATTAACATTAAGTTTTCCTGGAACATGTAATGTATGTCAAATGAAATGGTCAACCTAATGCTACACTGTACGTCAACTAAGCAGAATCCAATTTTTCCTGTGTCCCTTTAAAATCTGAATTTATTCTTACTTTTGTGGCTTTTAACACTGTTTACAACTGGACTATAACAAGTTACTGAAAGGAGAGAGCTGATTCTGTCCTCCTCCGAAGTCATTGCAACAAAGAACATCGTTTATACTTTGCAAAAAACCCAAAAGTGTGCAATTGTTGTGTATGTAATTCACACAATTTCTGTAACATACTGCTAGACTGTAATTTCTGTTTCTTGGCCTTTTTTTCAGTCTATTGTGGGTGCTGAAGGACTGTCCCTTGCATTCCGGCATATTATCAGCTCTCTGCTGTGGTACTGTTCCCAGCATACCTGTGAAGGACTGCTACATGAAGTCATTATTTGTGTGGGCTATTTTACTGTAAACAACACAGATAATCAGGTAAGGCAAATGGAAAATGGGATCAGAAATTATCAAGGGCACATTTAGTCATGGATCCCTCAAGAAAACTAATCCCCTCAACGCTGGTTTTGAAGCGCTTGGGATTCCTATGAGCACAAATATATGCGTGTGCAAAAGAGAAGCTGAAGTTGCATCTTAACACAAGAACATTAATTTTATATGGCCATAAGCAAACTCCATGTTCTTATGCAGACAATGATGCTGACATTGCATTGATTTTAACTAGCCTTACTCACTGCCAAGATACACTTAGCAACTGATATTTTTAATTCCAAGTTAACTTCATGTCAACTTGATCAGTGGCTCAGGTACCCAAGTTAAACCCTTTTAAAGCTGACTGAGCTAGTCTGCCGTGAAGACATGTCCTCAGATGCCAATACAGCCATCTCCTTGGTACCCAGAGCACTCATTTAAGCTTAAGCCATTCTTTTACTTGAATCTTTTTAGTAGTAACCCAAATACTCTGATGAACAAACAGTGGAAATTCCCCTTTAGCTTCCTTGATTGTTGTCCACTTTTGTCAGTGGACTCTGTGACCTCTCATAGTAGTTTATAAAATAACCCAGACACAAAACTTCAAAAATATGTCAAATATTTCAGTCTTAAAATTCTCCAAGTTTCCTCAGCTTTTACATGGCATCTCAGGGTGCATTGGGCAGGGCAGAAGTTGGCACTGGCTCTTTATTTTTGAGTATGTGAACCTGAGCCTGGATGTGTAGAAACTGCATTGTGGTGCCTACATCTTTGGTATGATTCAGTTCAATGCTATATTTTGTGAAGTTACTCATTTTGTTCTCTCTCCATACCTACAACACCTGGTTCCTGGTTTTATTCAACTTTTGGGGTAGAAGTTCAGGATGAGGAGCTTAGTGCCCTCAGTTAAGCTGATGAGCAGAAGAAAGAAGAGTTACAACTTGTCAGCAAAGGTTTAGAGAAAAGCTGTCCAATAACGTTCTTACAATTGTTGACTATAATTGGAACGTTATAATACCTTAAAGCTGACAGTGCTGTCAGAAGTATTCTATAATTATATAATGTAATTATATAGTAATGTTTCTGTGGCTTTGGCCACAGCCGGAGGGAGGATCCTGCAGCCTTCCTACCCAGTGCAGCCAAATCCCATTCATGATCCGGAGCTGACTGTGGGGCAACACTTTTTTATTTGGTCATTTTGAAAATCCGTGTGATATTGCTGCCATTTTCCGATTCCCACTGCTACACAACAGGTCGTGCTGGCATCCAGAAGTGCCAGCAAGCAATGTTGTATTTTCTCTGCAGTTTAAAAATTTCTTTTCTGGCACACAAGTATAAACAGATGTGATTCATTGCATGGAGGACTGGGAACTATAAACGTGCCAGGAATAGCGCAGAAGAGGGATTTCCTACCAGCAATGTCATTTAGAGTAGTCTGTAGTGCCTGGCGCTGTTCAGCGCTCATGCCCTGGGGCAAAGGTCCGACCATGGCGAGCAGGCACCATGCCACGGCAGCAGCTGGCTATGG